TTAAATAACTCTAACTTATTAAACAAGAGAAATGAAATGATGGTTACATGTAGGCATAAAAATAAATATATGTTGAAATACGTTGATCCAGAATAATTTTTTATGTAAATTGTGTTTTTTTTTTCTAAAAAAAAGCAAAAAAACAATAATCTACCTTTATGCTTAATATAAGAAATTAATATTCACAACTCAAAATTATTTTTTTTTTACATATATATATACAAATCCTGTTTATTTTAAATACAAAATATATTTTTAAAAATTAAACAACTGCAATCCCAGCATAATATATAACTGCGCCAACACTGCGGTAACCAGCGATTTTCTAATTTTAAATTAGGTAACGTTCATTTTATACTCAACACCTGAAGATTGCGTTGAGCATGAAACTTCGAGTTGTGTTAGGACAGAACAAATAAAAAGTGTCGGAAAATAGGTATTAGAACAAGAAGCAAGAAGGAAACATAAGCAGAAAACCTAATGGTCGCTGGATCTTCAGGATCCAACTCCTACCGTTCATAGCACGTGAGACCTTCGCTTAAAGCCATAATTCCCAAAGTGGGCGGAAGAAAGATCCAGGAAGTAGGCATCCAGGGTTTGACAGTGGCGCATCGAAACCATAAGATACACCATACTCATATTTTACCTGAAGTGTATCTTGCCTTCTGTTGTAGAATAGGACTTGGTGTACTCTCTTCTTTTCCCTATTACTGTGACAATAGACTGCTTCTACTTATAAATCTGGCAAGTAGACCCATTAGATCGGGATTTGAGATGTAGTCGATATAGTTTTTCCGTTTTATGTATGATTATTTAATAAACCTTTTCTTTGTTTTCCTTACCTAGTCTCTCCTTTTTCGTTTTATGTATGAGTATTTAATAAACCTATTCTTTGTTTTCCCTACTTAGTCTCTCCTTTTCCGTTTTATGTATGAGTATTTAATAAACCTTTTCTTTGTTTTTCCTACCTAGTCTCTCCTTTTCCGTTTTATGTATGAGTATTTAATAAACCTTTTCTTTGTTTTCCCTACCTAGTCTACTGTTCTATCGATATTCTCTATATCTACGGCCTTTCTAATTCTAGGCTGTTTTAAAGAAAACAGTATTACAACAACTTTACTTTAAAATCTATCTCATCTATATCAATTATTTTGGAAAGTGCTAAGATACTTATTTGACATGCAATACTAGCACCAAGAAAATCCAATCAAAGGTTGATTATATATTGGTTGGAGATTTAGGGTTTTATCTATACATTTGGGGGTGGGCCTTAGGATTGTGTTTTGGTACGCAAAGGGGCGGCAAACCAAACAAGTATGGGAACCACTGCCTTAAAGTATGGAACGACTAATTTGTATGCTGTAAGTTAGTCTAAAATCTCACAGTTGAGGCTTATCTAAATCTCTCCTGTAATCACCTTAGAGCGGTGGTAGAATAATAGCAAGACATGGACGGCATGAACAAAAAAAGAAAAATAAAGGATTAACTTTTGAAGTATAAGGATTCAAGAAGATTGATTGATCGATTTATTTTTACGGCTTATTAACCTTTTTACAGTTTAATTAATGCCAGAAAATAGTTTTAGATTTTAAGGACTTTTTTATTAGATTTCATTAGATTTACTTATATAAATCCTACTAATTAACCCATAGCTGGGAGGAACATAGGTAGATTAATACCTTTATTGTTCGCATGAGTGAATATAACGAACCCGAGTGAAATTGGAACTGATTTCCATTTTCGAGCAGTTATCCTTTACACCACCCACACATCCAAGCTTACAGCACTTGGTATTCCCAAGGGGTTGCCCATCTAGGTAGTAACCAGGCTAGACGTTGCTTCATACCGGTAATTGTATGTGAACTGTTGTTTCAACGTGTTATAGCAAGAAGAACAAATTCTGAATAATAATAATAATAATAATAATACTTACGCTGAGAACTGAATGTAGCCGAAAGACGGTTCGGGGATCTTCGTTGTCGTCCGTCAGCGATATCTCTCGTGTCGCATCAATGCACAAATACTTCCGGGTTGTCAGGTGGCGCAGGCGTACTTGCTGCTCCCACCTAATGACGTCACCTGAAATTGAAAGAACGTCAGTAAGATTAAGTTGACTTTGTTTTGGCCTTCATTCTTAGCAAATGGGAGGTTTGTGTGTGTGTGTGTGGGGGGGTAACAATTTCTCTGATGGCCGTTTTCAATTACGATGTTTATTTTGTTTTCTTTAATATCTTCACTGTACATCTGTCGTCCTTTCCTTTTTTTTCCTTAGAATGCGATGTCTTGACTTCTCTTTTATATTGAGGAAATTGTATTTTCTTAATCAATAGTTGTCATTCTTTGTATTGCCTTTTACAAAGCGAACGGAAGAAAATCGGCAGGAGCCGAAAGGAAGTGACCTGTACTTTTGATTCGGGAAAGAAAAAACAGATATCGATTATTTACCTATTAAAATGCCGCTTTCAGCTTCAATTTGCCAATAAGTATTACCAGAAGTCGATGGTGACAAAGTTCGCGGTCGATGTTGGTCCATAACCCGAATTCGGAAGTGAACTGAAAAAGAAAAGAACGCATTAAGGGACCGTATTTCGCTGTTTATAAGATTAGTTTTGCACTTTTGGTCTAATTTTTCATTCATTTTATCGAGTTGCTTGTTTACATCTATCGATAGACGTAATACAGACCGCGGCAGAAATACCTCCTACATTTTAAACTGTCACTTGTGTGGTGCCAGTGACCATAAACAGATTGCAATGATATCTTCATCAAGGCATTATCTTACCATTTATTTTTAGATAGGATCAATTACTATCACGGCTTGAACCGGTGTAAACCATGCGTTTGCCGTTGAAACATTTTTTTAAAGACTGGTGAATCTGTAATTGCAACGCAGTGAACGTTTCGTGCTCATTTCATGTTACACCGAAATGATGCTATTCCAGATAGAACATCGATTCTGCTAAGGGTTGAAGATTTCAGTGCAACAAGTTCAGCGCTTAGAATAAAGCCACCTGAAAAACTTCAAACGCTTCAACTACCGGTTGACAGAAAACTTTAGAAATCATCTACAACTATATATGACGAATAGAGGCTGTCATGTGGAGGATGCCATTTAGCACCAAATGAATACAAACTGTAGTCGTTTATTTAAACAACAGTGAAATTTTTTTTAAATAACAGTTACCTTGGTATTTTTGTCAACCTTTAAAATGTGGGAGGTATTTCTGCCGCACTCTGTAATATTGCGTAAAATTCTTAAATGAAACTGTGCGATTATTAATTTTGGGATAGTTTATCGTTTGAACTTGCGCTATGTAAATTTAAGCATCTGATTTACACAGACTGAAAGATATCGATTTGACTTCCAAATTGAATTGCCATTTTTCTTTTTGATATTTCATAGTAGATATACTAATTTTTAACTTGTTCGAATTTATGAGAATATATATTGACATTAAAAAAATAAGAAAAATAAATAAAGCAAGGAAATTAGTTATATCTTTGTTGTTTTTCCATAGCCGTGGAATAGCTGCGAACGTGCAATTCTAACAAAAACTGGTCGCGTGTTCAGTTTCATTTCATTAAAATGAATTATTATTAATAATCAATATTTCGGATAATTTTCTCCTTTGTTTGTCTTTTGACTATGCTATGAGTTGTTACTATTTAATGAATCTTTTAAACCATCCTCATCTTCAATGATATTTTTGCCTGAGTTTTAGAAGCGAGTTATTGTTACAAACTATCCTTGTCTTTATTAATGGCTTATTACCATGAGAAAATGCTCTCCGTTTCATGCAGTTCTATCTTGAGACAAGTTTCATTAAATCCAGACAAAAGGAATGGCTGCTGGGACTTAATATGATCTACTTGTACATATTCCGTGTTTAGTATATTACTAATATCAGTACATAAGTTTTTTCTTTTATGCTTTTAGTCGGTACGTACATTTACTATTTTATTCTTCCACCGAGTTCTAAAGAGTAAGGAGCGACAACCGGTAAATTCTTATATTTTTCTTTCTGGTCTATCGTATTAAATGTCAGTCTCTTTTCTTCTCTTTTTTTAGCTACATGCTTTAAATATGTCTGTGTTATGCGCCATTATTAAACTTTGTACATCAAACAAAACTTAATTTGTTGTTGTTTTTCTGAAGATAGTGAAAAATAAATTGAATATTCCCGAATAAGCTGAAAGTTTTAGACAAAAACAGCGAAGAAAAGTATAATCTAAAAGGTCATCAAATATAAATAAAATACAAGAACTGATTCTGAAAACTAAACACATGTGAATTGTTCTTTGTTAATTCTTAATATACCATGAACTGAACATGTGAGCAACGACCAAGTTTTAGGGAAAATGGAAACAAAAAGGACCTTTATACTTAACATCATGTAGAGGCAGTTGAAATTCTTATGGTGCATGATTAGAAAAGAGGGCTTGGAAAATTTGATACTTACAGGACTTATTGAAGGCAAGAGGGGCAAAGGAAAACAACGCTTAACATACTTAGTGAATATGAGTAAATGCATAGGTAAGCAGGGATTAGGATAAATAATAAAAAGACAAAATTTATGAAGCTACAAAGGACAGGGCATTGAGGAGAGCCATGATCGCATACACCCGGAAAAGACACGGCAAATAAAAGAAGAACAATGCGCCATATCTCTTCATGACTTTTCCTATCTTTTGTAACTCTTAGTTTTGTCTTTTCATTGTCCGTCATATTGCGGCTTTAAAATTGATAGATTGATTCGTTTTCTACGGCTTATCAACCCTTTGCAGGTTATTTAAAGCCAAAAATATTTATAGATTTTAAGATTTTTTGGGGGAGGAGGAGATAAAACGATTTATTGAGACAAACCTTACTAATAAACCCATATCTTTCCAAAGGTTATTTGCGCGTAATTGATTGTAACGAACTCAACTGGACATGGAACTCGTCTCTCCGATTAACAATTCCCAGCCATTATCCATTACACCACTCGCACATCTAAACTCACAGCACCTGATATTCCCAGGCGGCCATCCATTACTAACCAGGCTCGACGTTGCTTAACTTCGATAATCGTACCGGAACCGGTGTTTCAATGTGATGTGGCCGTTAGTCATACCATCCTCACACACAAGCTTACTGTAACTGGTATTCCCAAACGGTCACCCATCTAGGTAATGACCAGGTTCGATGTTGCTTAACTTCGGAGATCGTTCGGGAACCGGAGTTTCATTGTAATGTACCGTAAATCATGCATTCCGCGCATCTAAGCTTAGAGTAACTGGTATTTCCAAACGGTCACCCATTTAGGTAATGACCAGGTTCGACCTTGCTTAATTTCGGAGATCAGCATGATGTTGTCGTAAGCCAACGCTAGCAGTAAGATATAAAATCATTGATATTTTTTCTGCTAAATCATCTATATCGCCATGAATATTGCAAGTTTTATACTGAAGTGCATGCGATTTCATTTTGTCTGCCCATAAAGCCTAACAATTTAATGTTCTGTGTTACGACGAATAACCTTACCATCTTCGGTGACTTCTTCGTCAAACAAACCTTCAGCCACAAGATATGCTTCTAATTCTTTGTGGAATAAACGAATCAAAGCTCCTCCCTGGAAGAAAGAGAATTAGAACATTAAATGAAACAAAAGGTGACTGAATTTCAATTTTGAAAGTCAACATATCAAATTTAATTTCTTTTTTAATCGACATTTTCAAAGGAACCAGATGCTAACATAGAACGATCAGAGCATGTCATTTCCCAGTATATTTCCCCCGTGGTGTCGTATCAAAGGGGGAAAAAACCATTATAGATATTTATCTATAATGACATCTTCCATAAAACGATCATTTTGCAAGTTTGTCGCGCAAACTACTTAGTATGTTCGTTTATTATTTAAAATGATACCAGTGAGACCTTGCGAGGGACTAAGATAAATTTAGTCTGTATGTATCTTTGCAATACTTTAGGCGCATTAAAAAGTCATATTTAAAATATATTATTATAGTAAATCATTCACACAGCATTTACTTTATAAATATAATAGACCTATTGTCAGTAAGGGTTGTATTAATTACTGACCACTGACCATGCATTTCTTCTTGCGTTTCGATGCATAAAATACAGAATTGGAATAACGGTATAATCAGTAGGTAACAATAAAAAAAGTTGAAGTCATTAATTCATCTACACAAACACACAAATATATAACATCATCCACAGACAGACTGTCTTGGAGATTCTAACCCCTACGCTATCGGTGCCCGGCAGCGAGAAAGGCGAATTTTTAAAGAAAAGAAAAATTCGCCTTTCTCTCTACCAAATAGAACTATATATATATATATATATATATATATATATATATATATATATATATATATATATATATATATATATATATATATCTTGAAAAAAAAATAATTTTTTTCATTGAAATCGCCATTGTCTTCAACCAGGACTTCCATACGACTTTGGAATCTCCTGCAGCTCTTCTGGACAGTCTCCTTGTTTAAGTTGGTGAATGTTGACATAATCGTTGCCTTCAGTTTATCTTTGGTCTTACAAATAGTTTTGTTGGTTTCTCGTTCAGCTGCGCCCCACACATAATAATCAAGGGGGTTGCAATCTGGGGAGTTATATGGCCAAATTTAAGGGGCATGTGGTCGCAGAAATTGCTTGACAGCCATGACTGGATTATCCTGCTTGTATGGCATGGTAGAGAATCCTGTTGCCAGACATATTTTCTTCCAGGAGCCACCCTCTTGACTCTACCTCCTCAGGGCATTTGATGTAGGCCTCCGGGTTGAGTCTGTGGCACTCATAACAAATTCGGGAGTTCTTTTCTTATCAGAAGTTTGAAAGTTTTCTCCATATATTTCTATTCTTCATTTAGGTATTCGGGGCTATATTCAACTTCAAACTTCTTCACTACCCACTTCATTTTATCCTCAACACTAAAAAATGAAATTATAAAATCCATAAAGCCAATAACCACCAATAATACTTCTAAAAATTACACAAAATTCACAACCCTGCACTCCAACATTCTTTCTACTAAACTCACAAATAAGAAAAATAACCCCAACACTAATTCAAATGCCAGTATTTATCAAATAAATTGTTTACAATGCAAAAATGTTTATATAGGGGAGACATTACGTGATCTAAAAGCCTGCATCTATGAACACAAGAGAGACTTGCATTTGGACAAACGATCTAACTTACTTGTTTTGCATCGAAACGATGCTGGACATAATTTTGATTTCACTAATGCCAGGATAATTAAAAAAGAACATAATTCTTCAATACATTGAAAACTTAATGATGACATTATTACCAAGTATAAACACACGCCTAAAAGATTACATTGCATTGTCATCTTTCTTTAAATCCATTCTTAAAGAATCTAACTTATATCTATCTAATGCACAGAATACATTCTTTAAGAAGTCAGCCATAAATTAGAAACTTGTCACACCCCGCAGTGCCAGTTAACCGCAAAAAGATGAAGAGAGAACTTCCGCTAAATAGGCACACATACACAATTACAAATACACGTTACTATCCGATGCCCACTTAGACATACAAAGATATCCACAAACCTACCTACACATTAAATTATATACGGTTTTAAGGCACGTGACACGTGTCCGACGAATGAGAACTGAACCAAACATAATTGAAAATATCATTGTTTCTGTTTTTTTTTCAATCTCTTACGAAGCTTTAATAAAAGTGAAAAATGTTAGATTCACATACGTTTCCTATTCCTTCCTTATTTTATCATTCTGTCGGCTTCCGATCCCTATTTGATTTGCATTTGATCTTTAGCTCATATATATATATATATATATATATATATATATATATATATATATATATATATAAAGAAATATAGTCTTAAGATGTGGTATATTTATGGGATAAAGTGCTCAATATCAGAGACAGAGCAAGTGTAAATATAAAAGTGAACATAGAAGTCAACACTTAGAGACGACAGTCTGTTTCATTGCACTTGCGTGAAACAGACTGTCGCCTCTAAGTGTTGACTTCTATGTTCACTTTTATATATATATATATATATATATGATAAAAATGTTTTAAGGTATTCTGTATTTATGAGTAAAAGTGTACAATATCAGAGATAGAATGTATGCAAATATAAAAGTGGACACTGAGTTTAACACCGAGCAGCGACAGTCTGTTTTAATTGCAGGAAACGGACTGTGGCCGATTGATGTTGTATTCATGTTCGCCTATTGCCCGATTCATTCTCCTTCCCAGTCTGTTGACCAGGAGTAGACCAGGAGTAGACAAGGAGTAGAGATATTTACACTATTTACATTGTTCGTAATGTTGTCCTCATATTCGTTGCCATATTTACGACGTTTCGGCCGTTGTACTATCCGGCCATCTTCAGGCGATTGGAATTTAGAACTGAACCCTTTTATTTCGTCCATTTACCGTCGTTATTTATTTATTGTAACTATTTACACTGTTCAGGCTGTTGTCCACACCTTCGTTGCTAACTGATTTGGAGAGTTGAGTTAACTGGTACTGAAACATCTGGAAGAGGCATGGCACGTGGAACTAGAACAATCTAACCCATACGTAGTAGAAGAAGATTGGATTAACTGTTTTCTTTTAAAAAAAAATGTGTTCATATAATTACCATTGTACTATAGACAGATGCAACCAAAATAACTGAGAACCTCTGTTGCACATATCCTTTGCTTTAACCTTCAGTCTGTTTCTGTCAACAACTCTAATTACTAACGTTTTTTTTTTTATTTAGTCACCTTTTGGAATTTTGAGGAATTTAATTACACAGATTTCAGATAGATATTGGATGACATTAATTTTGGCACAAAGCCAGGTTTATAAAGTATCTCATGGAAATTGAACTCACTATCAGTGGCTAATAAGATGAGCATACTAAAGACTTCTTAACAAGAAGTACTTTTCAAATTACTAGGAATTATCCAGACTAATATCATTTTGTTTCAATCTCTGTATTTTGACTGGTGTGCTCTCCATCTTTCTTTAGTTATACACTGTATATGATAATCTTCAAGGGAAATCCTCTATGTCTTGATGTCTTTTAAAAACTTTTTACTATTGTTTTAATTAGAACAATTCACAAATTGCAATGATTAAATGTTCATCTACATATATTGAAAAAATAATCAATATGTTCATAGCCTAACAATGAAAAATGAAAAAAATATGACTTTTTAGACAAATATTTTTTCAACAATCTCCACAATAAACTTAATATTAGGCTTCTCCATTAGTCTCATATATAAAACATTATACAGTGACAATATCAGATCAAAATTTAGCTAATAAGCACATATTAGATGAACATCCAGTCTCATATTTAACAATTTTCCAACTGAAATTGTGCTTTAGTCTTCACCTATTATAGTTAGTTTGTTCCTTATAATAATATTATTAACAACAACACCTGTTGGTATATGTAAATTTATATAATTTAAAATATGTCAATATGAACAGAATTTCACTCAGCCTTGTGCCACATCTAAGCTACGTTTATTAAATCTATCTATCTATCTATCTATAATTATATTATAAATTAATTGATTTAAAATATGATTTTTTCCGCTACACAGTTCTAACCATGTTTCAAAAATGGAAGCTAAAAGACACGAATTTAATTTTGCAATTAAATTAAAGACATTAGTTCCATTTCATCCTCAAGCGAATTTGGAGTAACTTTTAAAATTACTGGGTTTTAAAGACACAGCTAAAATCACGTTTCCATGGTTACAGATAAATCTACTTCAACTGAACAAGTGGTGTCTGGGTTTTCCTTATGTCTGTATCATTGTATCGGTTATTAGCTACATTTTGGTAAGGGGTAGGCATGTATTTTTAAATGAAAACTGACATCCGTTGAATGCATGTCGTCTGGATTTTTTTTTAATTTATTGTTAACGGCAAAAAAATTCTTACGGCATTTTTTTCTATTTGTAAATTTAAAGATTTTCGCGGGTGTTCAGATTAGAATACTTTTTATTTAACTACGATTTGAAATATTGTCATTTTTAATTTTTATTATACTATATTTTTTTTATGTATTAGAATCCCTTATAGTATGTAGGATTATTTTTACATCAAGTATAAGTATGTATATTAGGTTACATTTTTTAATTTTTTTTATTTATTTATTTTTTTATATTATTTAAGTAAAATTTATGACAATTA